TTAAACCTTCAGCCTGATCCCATAACTTGGTAAGCGTAGCTAATTTTACTGCAAAATATTGTGGTACCTGTTGCTGGTTATCTTGTCTCACATTGTGGATGAGACGATTGATTGATTTACACACTGCATTTCGTCTGTTGACTAATGCCTGAATAATTTCATTCTCTTGACCACCAGTAGGTAATACTATTTCAATAGCTTCAACATCATTATTTATCTGAAGGTCCAACCCCTTTATTGTTGATGGTTGAGCCTTAATGGGTAATGCTTCCAGCTCTTGAGTTATTGTGGTGATATATTTGTTACCCAAATTTATGATTACCATGCCGTAATCTTGTGTGAAATAGTCCGATGTTCTTGCTAGTACATCGGCTTGTTGTAGTCGCTCATCATTAGCCTTGAAGTCAGCTAATAACTGTTCTAAAGTTGTTTTACGATCTTCGAGATATTGACGTGTTTTCCTGCTGGGTGAGTCCTTCTTGAAGTTGCGAATGATTCTGTCGATCTCTGAACCAATTGAATCCTGCTGGTCAGTTAAAGTGGATATTGATTTTGGATCCATGGTTATTGTATTTCCGTTGAAAACAGTTGTTTTCAATGAAGGTTTTTGTAAACGCTGCTGGCTCACACTGAGTTGATCTTGCCAATCACGTCGGGGTCACCAATGTAATACCACGTAATCTGAGGTGGTATCAAATAATGTATTTTCTTACTTCGTTACACTGACTATTAGGCACATAAACCAATAATCAGGTATTTATGACGAAAGGCTTGCAGGCACATAAACCGCTAGCCAAGTAAGTAAATAATTTTTATTTATTGCTACAGTGGTTAAAAGGCACATCTACCAATAACCAAATTTTGTTTTTGAAGGAAAGACGATTGTTTTCGCTCTCGAGTTTTATTATCAATATTGTTACCTTATATAGTATAGAATTACTTACTAAGCATAATAATATTTACAATTATTGATAACTAAAATAATAATTTAAATTTCACATATTACTGCATAAGCATAAATACAATATGTGAAGCTATTGAACTTATAAACGTAAACAATGTATTTAATATTTACAATATTTATTTGCTGCATAAGTGTAACTACAAGCGAGCTAAAATATGTTAGGTTTGTTAAACTTAACAAGCATTGTTTCGGTTTATTAAAAGAGAGATTCAGCAGTTTAAAAGAACTAAAATTGCAAATTAAAAGCAATAACAGCATTCACGAAGCAACGCGTTGGATATATGTTTGCGCTATTTTACATAATATTACAATACAAAAAAATTGTAGTGATGAGTTTTCATATTTTTTTGTAAATCTTACATATATTTTATATTTCTATATTACATTAATTTAATTTTTAAAACTTACAACTAAAACTATATATATTTTTATGTAAATCCTATATATATTTTATATTTCTATATTACATAAATTTAATTTTTAAAACTTATAACTAAAACTCTTATTTAAATTTTAAAATTTATTATGTAATATTTTTATGTAAATCCTATAAATATTTTATATTTCTATATTACATAAATTTAATATTTAAAACTAATAAATAAAACTATTATTTAAAACTATATATATACAACGAAAATTTAAAATGAAATCATATAAAAATATAATTTTTCTGAATATTGAAATATTTGTTGTTGTTATTTTAATCAATATCCAACGTTACTTTTACAATTTCTGATTTTTGTATTTCAAATCAATTTCGTATTTTTTGAGTTTAAACTCAAGTTTTAATTTTTCCAGCTCCAATTCCTTGTGAGCTTCTAATTCCATTTTTTTTATTTGCAGAGCTTGTGCTCTGTCTAATTCGGCGTTTTCCTTCATAATTTTTAGTTTCTGTTCCTCCATTTCGATTCTGCGTTGTTGTAGTGCAATAATCGAGGATGTAGAATCGCGTTGTGCGTAAATAGATCTTTTTCGGTTCATTCCGCGCATTCTAGATGATGTTGATGGAGTTGGAGAATCTTTCACTGCACCGGCCGAATCGGTTTCATTTCGGACATTTCTGGGCATAGCAATGGCTTCTACTTCTACTTCTGGTGGGTTTAAAAGACACTCCACAGAAACATCAGATTCCACAATGTTGACGTTCACATTGCTACGTCTGCCAAAAATGTCATACAGCTAATCGAATTTTGGGCATATCTTTAACACGTGTTCTGCAAATGTTATCATAATTATTTAAGCACATTTTAAGAATGCATTAAACTTATTACCTGTGACACTTCTCTCCCCCATATCTGCTGTAAGACCAGCGCCAGTGCTCTTCTTCCACTCCATAGCGGAAATGAAACCTGTCTTTAGGTACCGCATTTTGTTTTTTAAAACAAGAAAATTAAGGCCACTGAAACTATTACTTTTGGCCATTATTTTTAAGTAAAATAATTGCGCAGTTGGTTTCTATATTGTAAACACAAATAAGAACATTACTTTATCGTACTAACTACTACAATATTACACTTACCTCAAAACTTTCTTGTGCATCTTTTACTGCATCAACTACCAAATGCAATAATTCCTGCATTTCCACATCTCCCCACTTAAACGCTTCAGAGTAACGCATGCGTTTGGATGCTGGTGCTTTATCCTAAAAAAACAATTAATGCATTTAATATTTGAATGGGAATATTATAACATACTTTGAACTACTTACTTGACTTTCCATTTTATTTGTTTTTATATATATTATCACTTTATAAGAAATTTTTTAAATTTGATATGATATTACAAAATACTTGTGTTTGCAAAATTGTTTACACACAATTCAAACAGCTGTGAGAGACAGATAACAAATTTCTATACAAAAGTTCATTTTAAGTTATTATTACGACACTTGGTACTGGTAGCACTATTAATCAAATTTGTACTAATCTGAGAATAACCGAAATAGTTGATTCTCTGCTTAGTTTCATTTTTGTGTGCAAATTTTTGTTGTAATCAACTACTAAGCAACGAATCAGTTGCCTGAATACCCCTATTGAATTTAGCGTGAATAAAATTATTTATATAATTTCAAACTTGTAGATCACTAGCAGTGACGACGCGTGCCCTATCTGGAAGGGTGTGCGGACCTTCTTTAATGTTGTTTTTACATGTACCACTTATATTAAAATATATGAGATCTTTTATTAATAATAACTATATTATATACGGCAACAATATATTCGCGCAATATTATATTAACAATTCATTAACAAAATAACATATTAAACAAATTAAATTAATAATTTATATACAAGTTTAATATTATATCAATATGGAAGAAACAAAACTTTTCACATAATTCTCGTAACATCAAACCAAATTTTTTCAAACAAAAGAGTTTGTACTTAGAAACATACATGTTTGTGCAGTGATCAAACAAAATCGAAACCACTTGCAATGTGCGCACAAGTACCCCGCACAATAAGAACAGAAATTCGTGGGTGCTGCTGTTAAAAGGGGAGAGACGAAATGTGATAAAAATGTATGGTGAGATGAGCTGCAAACTTCAGCCGCTCATGCAACCACTTTGGCAAATCATCATGTTGGATTCGTATGCATACAGTTGATATTCGAATAGAACAGAAAATTACTCTCATACAATTCCCACTATATAAATCTCTATTTCTGATATTACGAACGGGAGCACACGCACATTATTTTGTTCATATGTAACGTATGAATGTGCGGCCAACTTCTTTGCACACAAAGGGGAGAGACGAAATATAATAGAAATGTTCTGTGATTTGAGCTGCAAATATATGAGCACAACTAACAAGTATAGCGGCTAACAGAAGCAAATTAATTGAGTTTTCATAGACAATTATATTTAATTGTTTTTGCTAAAACTTTAAAAATATATATTTATATGGAAATGTAATAAATAATAATAATTCTTGATGTAAAGATACTTAATAAATTTATATACCTATGTTATTTAACATTTTGCAAATTATATTAGGGTGTTCACCGCACACCTCCGCACCTTAGAGCAGTCGTCACTGATCACTAGTGAATACTAAGTGAGCACTGTTTTAGATTTCTTGCAATTTTCTTATAACTTTTTGCTTTTATTTTAATGATTGTGTTTAAGATTCATTCATGTATTGTATTTTTTAATGAACACAGAAATTAAAAAATTCCTTAAAAAATTCTTAACTTATCCATAATTTCTAACCTGAGAGTCATTTTCACAAATTTTATTAAAAAAATTATTTTTTCAAAACATTTAAATTTACTCATGAACACTCGCAACGGTTGTAAATAATCAACATTTCCTTCTAAAAATCATTCACAATAGATCAGTTTTAGGATTTGGCACCATTGTAGTGCGACAGCCTTATTGGTTATGCATTTTCAAAAAAGTGGACTAATTTTTGCGAATTTTGTTTTTGCTTTGCATGTTAATTTTTAAGCGACACGGAGCATTCATGTTGTGGATGCACCTTCAATAGGGTGTCATCAGAGTCAGGTCGACCGGCAGAAAATGGAGAGCGCGCATGTAAAAGAGGCGCAGGAGATAAACCGGTCGATTCTGACGAGCTTTTTCGAACAACGTGTGCGGTTGAGGGAGATCTTGAAAGAACCTCGTGGTAGCAGTAGCAGTTGGGAATAAGCGATTGAAGCGAACAGTAAAAAACGAGAAATAAAAAGACCGTGAATAATTCCTTCTAAAGTAGAAGTTTTACAGTAGAAGTTTTTAATATATTTAATACAATTATGATACGAATTAAATATTGTAATGAAATCTGTAAATATATATATAATCAAGAAGGTGGGGAGTTTGGATTGGCAACACTATTGAATGATATCTAATAAGTGCGCGCGCTGAAAAGTTTAATGAAAAATTTAAGTTGAATCGTGAGAAACTAATGACAATTGGTTGATTACTGAAAATAAACGTTTGTGTAATTACTACGCGTTGGAATGTTGTGCAAAAATTTGATAATAATATAATTTTATTTATTGAGACTTCAGTGGACAAAGTAACGTTGTATTTAACAACAGTAAAAAACCAAATATACACAAAAGTGCTTACGATCAGTGGAACTTAAAATTATATTCAGCGTTAAGCTCGATACAAAATTATAGAAAATATACTAAGTATAAAGCTCTGAGTGGTTCTTGTCTGTGCTGTCGGGTTTGTGTATCAAACCGAATTTTATGCTTTCAAAGAAAACACAAGCAGAATTTAAAAAATTAAAAAATTGACTTTTCAGTTATATCATAATATTAAATAAAACATATATATATAAAATGCCAGTTGAAAGATCGCCACCAGCAGACGCAAAAAACGCCACGAGTAAATCGGACCTGTGCACACCGAATAGGCAAGCACAGAGGCAAGAAAAACGTATGCGATCTGAGCTTTCGCCAGACTTATCGCTCGGTGATGTTATGCTGGCTATTCAGCAAATGACGGATAAATTCGAATCGAATATTGCAGGCTTGAGTAACAACTTTGATTCCCAAATAGCTACGCTAGCATCAAAGAGTGACATAGGCGAACTTATAGATAGGCAACGTGTCTGTGAAAATGGAAAAAATGGAGAACGAGAACCAAAGGCTAAAACTAGAATTAGAACAATTAAGAAATGATAGAGATGAGGACAGGAGGGAGATTGAAAGACTTGTCGAACAAAGTAAAAGTCGTAATGTACTATTGAAAGGTTTACTAAAAGATAAAGCAAAAAAAAGTGATGTGGAGGCAATTTTCCGAGATAAAATGGCTATGACAAGTATTAAAGTTCGAGACACAAAAGTAATATTTGAAAAGAAAAATAAAGTGAGTGTAATTGCAGAATTGGAAACATCAGAAATGGCAAAAGATGTCTTAAAGAATGGTAAAAAACTGCATGGCACTCCGATTTATATTGAAAAGGACTTGAGCTTGACTAGACAGGAAAATAAATCAGCTTTATTACAGCTGAAAAGAGATCTTGAAGCCATCAGAAATACTCACAAAATTTATGTTAAAAATGACAGTATAAATATATCAGGAAAATGGATGCACTTTGATAAAAATAAGAAACTAAAGTGCAAAGATGGTGACGCTGTTGAGCAATTAAAGCAATTGTATGGTGAGATTGAAGTGGAAGTAGTGCTCGAGAAAAACAAGCTTTTTAAAAAAATAAATCAGCCAAAAAACTGTTTGTAAAAAAGGAAATCGTTAAAGATGCCAAACAAAAAATTGAAAAAAATGCAAATGCCGCCAGGTCAGACTCTAAATTAGCATATAATTTAATAATTTATAATTTAAAATATTATCGTATAATGTAGCTGGTTTAGCAAATAAGTATAAGTTTATTGAATTTATGAAGTATGTTAAAAAATTCGATATATTTGTTTTATTTGAAACATTTTTAGTAAGTAAGACAGATTATATTGAAAACACATTTATAGAATACAATCTTCATTGGGTGCCTGCAACAAGAACAACAAATAGAGGTCAAGCCAGTGGAGGAAAATTGTATGGTGTACGAAAGCAATTGCAATTTTGCGGTACTGTGGTGTTCAAGCACATTATGAACTCAACAATAATCGAGATAACCACTAATAATCAAAAGTTATGTTTAATCCCAGTTTACCTAAATTGCAATAACTGGCTAAATGATCTCAATAACTTATGTGAAATATTAGTGGAAGCTCAGAACGAAAATGTCATGATAATAGGTGACTTCAATGCACGCATAGGCAAAGAACAATGTCTGGAACTCAGCCCAAATATGCAGTGGACTGAATTATTGGGCCACAGAGTAGCAATGGATACAATTGTAGATAGAAATGAAAAAACAATTACTAGAAATTTGCAATTCATTTGGTGTCACCGTGTTAAATGGCCGCACTAAAGGCGACAGAGAGGGTACATTTACGTTTATCAGAGGTGTAGCAAGGTCAACGATAGATTATTGTTTTGTGAAAGGAGTATGGTTAATAATAACTGAAGAGTTTCAAATACGTGACATGATATACTCGGATCATCAGCCACTGGAAATTATGGTAAATCTAGATGCCTCTAATTCAAATGAAAATAAAATGCAGTTGCTACCGAAACTGATATGGAAAGATAAATATAAAGATCTGTACCAAGAAAAGCTTGAAGAATCCCTTAATGCATGCGAAGGTAGTACATTTGTGTCGAAGGAAGGAGATGACATTCTTCAATATTGTGTAAAACAAGCAGCAAAATCGTTTCAGGGTAATTCGGCGGGTATAAATAGGAAACAAAAGTGGTATGATTTTGAATATGAAACTGCAAGAAAGAAATCATTTAAATGGCTACAAACAGTTAAAAAAGGTGGTGATATAGCTGATTTAGAGAAATACAAAAATGTAAACAGAGAATACAAAAAGCTGTGTGATGAGAAAAGGAAGTCATATTTCAATGAAATGGCAATGTCGATATCCCAAGCAGCTGATAGTAAATCATTTTGGAGTGGAGTTAAAAAATAAATCGTGCAGATTACATAAAAGGAATTAAAGTGGACGCCGAAGCTTTGGCGGCACATTTTAAAAACCAGTTAAATAGCAATATAGTAAGCAAGTCTTTCAGTTATACCCTGCCGTA